GACAATTTTAGTTTCTATTTCTTACAAAACTGTACACTTAGTATATTGACTTCACAAAACATCTAATTTGAACCAGTGCTGCATTCAACATACCACGTGACACACAAAAATTGATGTTTATCTTTGTTTGTTTTTAATATTTACTTTTAAATTAAGAAATTGAGTAATTTATAGTTCTAAAATTTGAATTATAATCTACAGTTTGATACGAAACTTACTGAAATAAATTTATGAAATAGTAGTTCAATAAAATTTTGAATGCGAGTCAACAAACGAGATGACATGGCCTTTCACCTGTGACCCGTCTCAAAAGGGTTAAAACAAGTTTTATAAACTATATAAACGACAACACAACAGCATGCTATATGTTTTGTATGATGTCAGAAATGGCAGATACTTGTTCAGTAAAATCCTATACACCACAATACAACAATATGAAAGATCCACAGAAAAGTTTTACATTTTATAAAGCTGATCAAACATGCACCACGTTACCCTACCAATGAAAACAGAATTTCCACTTACTGTTTTTGGAGAAATCGGATGTTTAAATTTTGTGTTACTTTGTCTTTGGTCCACCAGAACTCTACAATGGGTTCGTCGTAAACCTGGTATGATACCCGAGGAAGAAACTGGAGGAGGGTAAGTAAGGTTCTGAGCTGATGAGTGATGCTCTAATGGGTGATCTAATTTCATAAGATCTTGAAAAAGATACCCTGCATGTTCTTTGATGTAGAGACAGGAATCTGATATAAATTTTCTTATGTTTGAAGAGTTTATTGCTAACGGATCTACTGGCCACTCTAAACAGCTTTGGCAACGACTGTGATAAATATGGTTTTTATATGTACTAGGGTATGGGCACATCAGAGCAGACCCACAATGAATGTTTTGATATGTACTATCTTCACCAAATGTCTTTTGGATATAATCAGCTTCTACACTAGAAATACTAGTCGGGTCCATTAGGTTCCTATTCTTGTTTTTCATACCAATAGAAGATTCTGAACAAGAAAATTTATGACATCCTCTCCATACTTGGTGGTTGTCTTTCTGTCCCTTTAATACTTTCAGTCGACCACCACTTCCAACAGAAGATAGAGAGAGACTACTGTCACTATGAAAATCTAGCCCTAAACACAGAAGATCAATTGAAGTAGATTTTTCTGCAGTTTCAATTTGGCAAGATGTGGGTAACTTAATGGCTGGATATGTTACTCGCCTCATATCACTTCGTCCAGCCTTGAATCCCTGAGGAGTAAGCAGATTAATAATTTTATCATAGCTGGAATCTAAGCTTGATTGATTAGATTGTAGTGAACTCTTCTTTTCTGACTCAGAGAACGATGACAACCGAAGAACAGGGGGTGAGTCTCCTAGGCCACTGTCAAAATGTATCCTGTCTTTGTCATAATTTTTAGGTGAGGTAGGAGAAACTCTAGTTACTTGCTTTTTACCTGCAGAGGAGACAAATCTTTCACTCCTAATCAGTGAGCTGTCTAATTCTCGTTCAAAACCCACACATCCATCTTCATGGTTCTCTGACAATTGCTTCTGACTCTGTGGGCCTTGGAGTAACCCCAAACCACTGTCAGATGATGATACCATTGCAGAATCCACATCCACGGCATTAATTATGTATTTTGGAGGAGCTGGATCTGTGTCTATTGTATGGTCTTGGTTATTTTCAACAGAATTACTGGCCATGTTTACTTCTGTCTGTACATCACTAGACATTGTGGAATACCCTTCATCTTTTCCACTACGTTCCACTGGTACAAGACTTGTATTTGCAGTACAAGTTCTGGAAGATATAGAATCTTGCCTTTCAGATGAATGGATCGTTATGTTTGATTGCTGCATTTCTTTTGAATAATTTGTCTCTGGATGCTGAATCATTGTTCTGGCAGCCTCTGAGCATTCTTTCATGGACTTATGGGGTGAAGAAACAGGAATGGGTTCAGGCTGAACTTCCGTTTTCACTTCTGAAAAACTGATGTTTTGTGACTCTTTAGGCATGGTACAGTACTCAATGTCCTCCGATGTTCCATGTCCTACCTGACTTCTCCGAATTACAGTGTTGGTGCATTCTTCACCTAAAGAATTCATCTTTGGACTAGATTCAGATGTGTACCAGTTTTCAAGGCTTTTTCTGCTAGGTGAAGCCATGGAATTTGCATCTGTAGAAATCCTTGATACACTTTTAGAATCAGTTGAAAAAGAAGGTGGATCTACTTCTTCATAAACATTTACACAGGTGTCATGAAATTTTTGTTCTAATGCAGGGAAACTAAAGCTATGAGAGGTTTCACACTGAACATGAGGGACAACATTTAGAGTGGTGGGTCTTTGAATGCTAGGTTCTGATTTACATGCATCACTATGTGATGAAACTTGGTTGCTAGATGGTAATGCAAAGTAATTATGCTGAAGCTGTTGTGGAAGACAAGAAGAATGCCTATTTGTTGATGATTTGTGATAAACATCTGCATTTCCTGCAGCAGTTGTTTGTACAGCTTGATATGTTTGTGAAAGTTCGGAAAATTGCACTCCTTTGATATTAATAACCTCTGGGATGAAGAAAGGTATGGAAGGCTTTCTAAGGTTAATATATGTTCACTGGGAGTCTCAATGGTGTCAAGACTCCCAAGATCAACAGATTGGCTCTGACTGCTTAGATTATACTCAGCTTGGTGGATTTCACTATCCAATAAAGAACTTGATCTTGCTACATCACTCTTTAATCTTCCACATACTTTATCAACTAGCATGTTTCTATTACCATAGGACTTATGAAGTTTGTGGCTTTCTCTCAATTCCAACTGCTCTGCCTGAAGAGCATAATTACAAACTTCATCTCTGCTGTAACAGTCTTGATCAGATGGTCGTGGAACGAGGTCAGACCAGCATTTCGTCATACTTGTTCTATGACATCCTTGTGGAGTACTTGTTAGTAGTGATCTTGCTAGAACACCTGTGCTTGAGACCTGAGGTTTGACACTGTATCCTAATGTAGTTAGAGAATCTCGAGACCACTGAGGAGGTGAGCTCATTTTTGGGAGTCCTGGATATGAAAGAACCTGTAAAAGCAAAGACAGTCAAAGAAAGTGAGTAATTTGGTACAATTATTTGCATGCAGAGAAACGTGTATTTTAACCCTACATGGTGGTGTGACCTCATTGGCATTAAACATTCCTAATAATGATAATAAATAAATAAAAAAGGATTTTACACAATTTAGTATAAAAAACGAATGTATGTTTCATAATGAGCATTTTAAATGGAGATTGATTTACATACCATAAGCTCCACTGTCTAAAACAATCAGTGATTTATTAGCTGAACTGTACTTTCCTATATCTTAAGCATCCAACATATGAGAAAACTGTAGCACATAAGTTAAATAAAATAAATCTAAATAAGTACCCTCTTCTTAATTTATATTGCACATAAGCTCTTAAAGTGCTACAAATAACCTTATAGGAAGAATAACAATTAGTAAAATATTTTATATTGTGATACATCTTATAATTTCATAAGCTAAATGAATGTTCATACATTTCTTCCACTGCACCCGCTATTAAATGAATAGTCACTACAGAGACTTGCTAAGGAATCTGTGCTATCTTCAGAATGATTAGCATGACTTTGGAAGTTTCTCCCTGTTCTCTGGCTTTGGTTCTGATTATACTGTCCAAACTCCAAGTTCTGTAAAGGTAAAAAGTTACCTAAAACCTGAGCCTTCACCACACTTTGACATTTAATACCACCAAATACACAATTCTACAAGCAGGATTATCAAAGCTTTGATATTTTAATACAATAACTTATTTCAATAGTATTTTACTATTACAAGACTGGATTATCACAACACAGTGGTTCTCTAAGTGCGGTATGTGACACACTGATCCAAAATGCAAATCACTGACTCGCAATGCCACAGCCAAAGCTATACAAGAAAACAGAACAGGTGGGGTAGGACTGATAGGTTAACCTTATTGATCTGTATGACTAACAGTTCCATAGAAAGGAGACAAATTTATTCATCATCATTTTGTTTCTTTCTAACACAATAATGAAGAACAGCATATATATACATTTATTCCTTGGCTTAATCACTATCAACAATGGTAACGACTAGGCTAACCTGTAGTCTGTCAGCTAAGATCAAGTCGACAGTGTCCTGATCAGGTGAGTTATCAGTTGATGGCCAAATTTTCTGTAAAGAATCTCTGTGATACAGCTGTGAAAAAAGTTCTCTTATCAGACAAAACTACATATACCTTGCATTAAAATTACACAATAAAACACCCTTTTCAACAACTTTTATTCAACTTATATTTAATCAGTTCCTTTCAGAAGACAAATATTATTTTGGTTTTTGTAACTACTACCTGGTTATGGACATTTGGTAGCATCTTTCACAATTTCAACAAAATGGCAGCTCCTAGGATGATAAGTCAGGGCAGACGTTTTTTTTTTAAACACAACTGAGGTAATGTTTAAATAATTATATCCACAAGACAGGTCACCAAACAACACAATAAAAAGCTAGAGATATATATTAATATGTTATAAGAGGTTATCAATAAAGTATTAAATATAGAACAGTATTTTTTAGTCTTGATAATATTTATTTTGCATTATAACATTTTCAAAAATTATCAATACTTTGTTGTACAAATGAAAAATTAATATTTTGGCATTTAGAAATTAATGTCAACACCTATAATTTAAGAAAATTAAACATGTTAATTGAAATTGTGTGCCATAACACATACACCTCTTATGTATAAAATATGTTTACAGATCTTAAATATACATGTAGTCTGTAGTTTTAGTGCACATTAAGCTACACGACTGACTATCTGTGCTCTGTCCTCTTTGAGGAAATGAACCCCAGATTTTAACATTGTTAATCTGTAAGCTGACTCATCATGCTGTAAATTTATGATTTCCTTAAACTTTACATTTAGCATTTGAATTTTCTTCAATACTTTTTGCTTAATTAACAAGATAAATTTACTAGATTTTGAAGTTAAGAAATGACAGTGATCATTAACACAGCATACAGATGTTTCATTTATAGTGTATTTTTCTAACACTTACAGACAGAAACTCACCTGAGAATGAAATTCTCCAGAATGAAGTACCTGCTGTTTAAATAGAACAGACAAGGCATTGTTTTGTTGTTCTAGATCCTGGACTCTTCTTTGTAATTTTCCACATTCTTCTCGCAAACTCTACAATTACAAAATTCAATAAAACATCAGAAACTGTCTTATTTTCTGATAGACTTTTTGTGTATATCTATTACTCTTTTTAAAATCAATCTCTGTCTGATATGTGTTTTCAACAATGGCTTTTACATTATATGTTGCTTAGCAACAAAGTATAACCTGATATTGTTGTTAGTCTATGTACTAAAAGTATTAAATGGAATGCCTAGACAGCTAAACTGGAAAAAATGTTTGTTGATTTCTTAATTCAATATCTCTGTTGATTAAAAAGGTTTGTCTGATACGAGTTTTTAAAAATAAGGATTGATTGAAAAGTAATTATAAAAATTATATTTTGGCCAATCAGATGTGTTTGTTGTTGTTTAGATTGCAGTTGACTATGGTTTATGTGATAACTAGCTTTGCCTGACTACTCAAAAACATGATGGGATGGTGTTTTGTAAAAAATCCCAGGGGCCTCTACCCTTCCATCAGCATAATATTTAAATTACACAATAAAAAGTTCTAATGTTAGGTCATAGAATAACACTATAAGTTTATTTATTGATAATATTAAGTATAGCAAAGTTTAGCCCTAACTAAATTAGAATAAAAAACGTACACAGCTTATAGTGGTAATTCATATCTTTATCTAACACAAGCAGTATTCAACAAAGGTTTAACTAATGTTAGGCCTAGGACAAATGGCCTTATAGATTTCAGTGTCGGGAAATAGAATTCTCTTGTATTATTTTGAAATTGAAAGTTCTGATACATCAGATTAATACTTGGCATTCATTTTGTTCCTGTTAAATTAGTTAATTGAATATATAATCAATCTTGGTTTAGGTCCATAATCCTCTATTTAAAACATAATGTTGCAATAAAGATACTAATTTGACTGTAAATGTTTTGCAAACCTCTGCTAGTTTCTTGCATAATTCAATAAAATTATTTAATTTTTAAATTAGTTTGGATTTTGGATTTTTTTTTGGCTAAGTAATGCTAAAAAAAAAGAATATGAGCAACTATGAATGAATGGTAAAAACTATTTTCTTCATATATCAGATTCACTCTTAGCATATATGTACAATATAAAATACAACATGAAACTTTATGCTGCAACAAAGTTTTAATGTGACAATAAACAATAAATTGCGAATATGTTTTAAAAAACATAAATAACCTTGGTAAAATTTATATGGTAAGCTAGATATAAAGTTGAGAACAACAACCAGGAATTGAAATATTAAATTCCTACATTCCTGACAAAGTTAACTTTGTTTGAGGAATTTCGTCTTTTTAATCGGCTTTCCTGGTAGGGAATACATGGTCTATCTGAATTCCTTTAGTTATGACCAATGAAAGTGAACATATTGCAAGGATTAAATAAATATGTAAACCAAAACTTGACAGTTGAATGAAGAGCATATAAAACCAAGAAACTTCCAACTAAATAAGTAAAAACTATATAACATCCTACTCATGTAATACAATTTAAAAACCAAAACAGAACATTTTCTCTTCAATTTCTGCACAATAAATAAAATCATGTTAATTTATTAATTTACAGAGAAGAAATAAAAACAAACCTTTTGTGTTAATAATGCCTGAACAACCTGATTAGCAACATCATCCAGACAATGTTCATACTGTAGACGCTGTTGTTCATTTTCAATAATTAAAGCTGTATTTTCTTGTTCTAGAAGTCCAAGTCTTTCAAGCAAAACCCTACACAATGTCTGTTCTCTCTTTTGCTCATGATCTTTGTTCTGTAAGAAAAGGATATAATTCAATGACAACAAGTATATATAATGTACAATACTAAACAACATAGTATCATAACATTCAGAGTATGTTGTAATTCTATTTGATAATTTTAAGAACTTACATGGCAAGAGTTAAAACCAAAATTTAGAGGACGGAGAGAAATTCAGTTATCAGCTGTAAAATGTTTTTTTTTCATTCAGTAAATTTCCTGTGTATTGGAAAAGCATAAAAAAACTTGTTTTTTGATAATTTTATCTATGTATTTGTCAGTTGGCTTACCCCTCTATTGACCTATATACCTATTTCTCCATGAAACAGAATGATATAGAAAAAAATAACCGACTCACATTTAACAGTAGTGTTCATGCAAATTTCAATAAAGAAAATAGTGTTTTTATATTTTCTAATATAGCTTTCAGAAATTAATGCTGGATTTTATGACAAAGCCTCAGGTTCTTCACATTAGACAAAAGTCAAGTGTATGATTGTGAATCTCTCTCTTCAAGACTATTACACAATATGGTTACTTCTTTCATGCATAATATAATCTAGTTTTCACTCAAAAATAGGTGAAGTTGTGAAAGGTTTAGCCAATTTTGTGGCATTTGATATAATTGAAATACTTCTAATAGAAAACTGGTGGCTAAGCTAAGTTGCTGTAGTTCTAATTTTAATATATAGTTTTATAATATTTATGATGTAACAATTTCTTCTAGAAGAATTTAAAAACTTTTATTTAAAAAATTATCCTAATTATCAATAGCTGTTGTCACAGATGACCACAGAGACATTATACCTAATGTTTGTTTACTTCAAAAAGTTTCTCACCAAATTGCTCCATATAAAAGGATGCAATATTTAAGTAATGTTGCGTATCCTAAGAAAGCATTTAATCAACCTATCTTCCATTATTTTTGCACCTTACAATAACATAAGCATACAAACACACCTTCTATTTTGAACACTGGTAAATAAACATAAAAATGAGCATCTTCTTTGCATGTAAAACTGCTGGAACAGTCAGTCTGGAAAAATTTAAGTTATTTCATAGAAATATCCTACTTAATGCATTAGAAATATATCTTTCTATATTATTATGAATTTTGTAAGCAGGAATCAGTACCCAACACATGAGAAAGTCTGAATTAATCTCTAACTCTTGTGTTTCTTAACATTGAAAGCAATTTTGATTTCATCTGGTTCACATTTTCCCTGGATAAGGGGGTATTTATCATTTATTTTCTAATTGACGAATAGTTACATTTTAGTTAAATTCAAAATGCTGCTATTTCTGTACAAGACCACATTATTTTATTTTATTAAGTATGTGGTCATGAACACCAGTTAAGTAGTACAGTGAAAGAACAGCAAGAATAAGGCTGATAGAAAAACAAACAAGAAGAACAAAAACAAGTAAATTACAATATAACTATTACAGATGTGTATTTAAAGTTTAGCAAGTTCTATAAAATTGGCCATTAAATTAAACATTTTCCAAATAAGTCTAGTGTTAACATTATTAAAATCATTATTTGTTCACTGTTGCTTTAGAATAATATACATTATTTTTAGAACAAGTACTTCCATATACCAAAAATCACGTGTCTTGCTATATTCAAATACATGAAAACAAGTCTAGAATATCCGAAAAAGAGAGACATTAAAATCTTAATTAAAATAAGAAAAACAAAAAAAGGCCAAACTTACAGATGTTAGTTTACATATTCAGCCAAGCTATCCAAGAAAAATGTACTTTAAGCAGGTTACAAGTTACTCTAACAATTTAGTGATTATGCACGATTGTTGATTAATGCAAAACATTTTGTCCCTGTGACTGATAGGGCTTGCACTAATACAGTTAAGGTACTGAAAGTGATACTACACAGAAATTCTAAAAAACATTCATATCTTGACACCACAACTGTAAGGTTATGACCATTTCTTCTGCAGAAATATCACGAGTTCAAAACACATTTAAAAGGAACAATATGGTAATAAAACTTCAAAAGGATTATTAACATAAAAAACTAAAGGAAATGAATTATAGGAAGAAACAAAATATTATATATTCAGTTGACACTTCAACTGGAAACTTACTGATCCTTCTAAACTACGAAGTTCATTCAAAAGCATGAGGTTTTCTTTCTCTAAAGAAGCCAAACATGTTTGATACTTCCTCATTTTACTCTGAAGGAGTAGAAAAGAAACATTCAGATAATTAAAAACTGAACACTAAATCTTAATGTTTCTGTTGACATCTTCTGCATAAGATAATTTCTAATTCGAGTAGATATACAACTCTAGAATTATCAATATGGTACATATTTCTAATTAGTGTGATTGATAAATTGCCATACTAATGGTGTATACATTTTTTTGAGAAACTTTTATGATCTTAGGGACCTTGTAATCAATGGTATTAAACCCACAGTCCTCACCAGTAATTCTATTAAATATTAAACCACTAATTTACTTTATAATATCAAAATATAAGTAGCTATTTTCAATTATACAGTGTATCTGAAAAGTCTTGAACCATAGGGAATTTGTGTGTCAGAGATGGTTGGTCCCAGTGGAAGATTGTTGTCGAATTTAATGCATGCCATCTAGAGAGAGAGAAAAACATCACTCACAGTGCTGTTGGGAGGCTGCTAGCTAGATTTAAGGAGACTGGCAGTGTGGACCATTGATAACGACACAAATATGCTTTATAGTGCTCATAGAGGGTGGAAATACAATTTTCAAATTAGTCTTGAATTACATGGACAACATATGAAATACATTCTGTAAAATTCACTGAAAATGCCCACAGTTCCAAACTTTTTGGACACCCTGTATATGTAAAAATGTAAGCTATTCTATTTGTTTAAAGCCCAATACAAGTCAGCAGACAAAAAAAAAGAGTTATTCAGGCTCTACTGCTTGGTAGTTGAAGTATGTTAGGGACAATGATCAGGACGAAACTAATTTTTCTCATTATCTAGAGTGTAATTTTTAGTTAGCATAGTTATAATGAATTGTTAATCATCCACATTTATGGTGATGAGCTGCAATCCTGTTATTAGTATCGTGAACTGAAGTGAAACCTGTCTGAATGTCATATAAATAAAACTATTTACTGATCGTCCAGATACAAACATTACACAATTTTTTTTAGTCTTTCAGAAAGAGATTTATTATTAATAAACACTACATGTAAAGCAAAGCTTTTAATATATTGGAAAAGAAAAATCATTATTAAAAGAAGTGAATAAAAAATAATCTATATGTAGTAATCAAATTACTTTTCCTTGGTTCAAAATGTGTGAATATAATTTTGCAAGTTATAGACTAAATTCAATACAAGAAATGAAAAATAATATTTAAAATTTCATCTACGAACTAACAAATTAAAGTCTACTTAAGATCTACCCAGTTATGTTATCAGGGCTCACCCCCTCATTAGGAAGCAAGTTCATTGGGCACTTGAAAACTGCAGTCCATTAGCAACCTAATTAGATGTAAGATGTCTAAAGGTCTTTGTTTTTCCAGTACAAATCAACTAAAAAACTTGCAGATCAATAAGTTATACAAACTAAATGAAAAGGCCTTAAAATATTTAACTAAGATGTGCAATATTTATAAAAATATTTATTATTTATCAACAAAAATACTTCTTCCATTAAACAATTATAAAAAGCTATAATTAGCAGCAAAACATGAGTGAAAATTTGCTTAAAGTTTTATCAAACTTACCTCGTATGCTAAGGCAAGAGATGATTTTTCATGTTTCAACTGGTCTATACGAGACTTGAATTGCAACATGTTCTTAACCATTTCTTCCATTCTGGCAGAATTAAACAAATTAATGATAATTATACAACATTTTAGTTATTGAGACTTTTATCTTGTTTGCCTGTTTTAATGAAAAGCCACATATTGCATTATCTTCACTCCATTACATGGAATTGAACTTGGATTTTAGAATGATAAATCTGTAAACTTATCATTGACCCAACAGAGGATGACTTTTATCCTAAATATATGAGAAGCACCACTTGGACACGTACACAGCCCAGCAACAAACCAATGAACAATCACTATTACAAACTAATTGAACTGTAGTAATTTTCTTTTGTTTCCTCTCAGGCAAAGTTGGTGTGGGTTTAAATCACAATTTTAAAATCTTATACTCACTGAAAAACTGTACAAGAAAAACATTTATGCTTAACACAGATTTTAAATTAAAAATAACAGTCAGCTATTCTTTGTCTCATCTCAAACTCTATCTGTTTGAGAATATATAATGCATTTACCTTAACTGTGATTCTGTATAAAATTTCTTAAATAGAAACTTACATTATTTTAACACAATTAACATCATGCATGTATATTCAACATGATTATTTAAGACATTTTTATACATATTACTACCTCATGGAATAACACAAGGTATTAACACTAATTAGGTAAATCATATCAGGGAAATGTCTGTACTGGAAGAAACAGGTCTATGGGCTGAACAATGATGGAGTTTGAAGGTGGGCAATTTTAGGACTCTGTGATAAGCTATTCGTCAGGTCACTATAATTACTGTACATGAAGCTTTCAGGGAAAAGAAAAATGTTGTCTACTACAGAACTTCAAGCTGATGGAGTCCAAAAAAATGCCTCTGTGTGTTATTTGTAGAACAGTCTAGTTTTATCAAACATCTCCCTAATAATAAAGTTAATTTTAACAAACACTAAAACGATTGTACAGTAAACCTTAAGATTTCATCACTCACCAGATAACATGACACTTTTGAGTAATCACTTACTTTAGGAAATCTTCTTGAAGACTTGCTAATCGAGCCTTGCAATGCTCACTCTCTAACCGTACCTCTCTGAGGCACGCCTCTGCTTCTAATCTATGCATTTTTTCTATTTCCAATTCCACTCTGAGACCTTCATTCTATGAAAAATACATTAGTTAAATATAACTTTACACAAAATAAACAAATTATGAAATATTTCTCATTACAAAAGTCATCCAGTTTGGTTAATTTTATGATTGTAATAGCTTTTTTACTACTTCAAATCTGTAGTAATTGACAGGTCAATTATGAGAAAGTGGTTAAAGTTCATGTTTGGAAGCTGAATATATAAAAGTGTGCACTTAATATAATCAAAATTAATTCATATAGCTTTAGAATAAGAAAAGCAGAAAGAAGCACACTATTCTGTGACTTTGAAGAACAATATGGTGATAAATATTATTATTACTGTTTCAATAGAGACTAATAGTTCATACTTGAACTTAGGAACTAACAAAACAGCATAGTGTAAATCATACTGTTAGTACTTAATTACACATATATTAAATAAGTGTTCATTACTTGATTTGAAAATAATAACAAACATTCAAAATGATTATAATTAAAATATACATGTCCCAACTTGTTTTTTTTTTTTTTT